AAAAAAAAAAAAAAAAAAAAAAACTAGCACCAGACTGAAAACTTGTGTGATCCCCGTCCTGCAGTCAGAGCAGAGAGGAGACCGACTTCACTCTGGTTCCGCTGTGCAATTGAATCTCAGAGATGCTGCTGAAACCAGAAAGACTGTAAATATATATTTTTTTAATTTTCAAAAAAACGTCCGCAGTAGGGGTGGGCATTTATTTTATTGTTTATTATTACTGTAATAATTTTTTTTATCAAAATATGAATTTTGATTTATTGTCGTCATGATAAATTCCAAAAACCCAAAACTGTCAATATTGCCGTGTTTATTTTATTGAAAGTTTCATAAAATACCTATAAATTTCTAAATATGTTTAAATGTGTTCAGGTTAATGACACAAATCACACTTCTTTATACCACTGGAGTCCTAAAGAAGCACATTGCAAATGGGAACATTTCTCTAGATTATTATCAGTGTTTGTAGAGCTGAGCTGTGATTGCTGTGCCATGCAGTCATAATTATATAGTTACCTTATAAAGAAGTAATAAATAGTTCTTATTGTCACATTTATGGTTATTACAATAGTACCACAACATATAGTCCATATTGCCCACCCCAAGACTGCAGTCTAACCTGTTGTGTAACTTATGTTTGTTTTTAAAATGTGAAAGGAGCTTTAAGGAGCTGCAGTTGGAACAGCAATGCTATAAACATTATTTATACTCAAGAGCGATACGTAATGTGCAGCTAAAACAAATGTGTATTGCTTCACTGGTATTGTTCAGTATTTTTCAATAGAATAAGGTGTATTGTGAGTCTGGAGTCGGAATCAAACTTAAGTGTGAATCTGCAGGTCAGTCTTTTGAGGATCAGCCAGAAAACAATGTTAAGATGGTTTCTGCTGTTTATATTGATGCATATTAAGGTACATTTGGTGTTTGAACTGGGATTGCACCAACGCAAGAACTTCTTTATTGGTCGCCTTTATTGCTTCTTTTGGGCATACAGCCAGTTGGCATCAAGGAAAATAAATGCTCTCCTGGAATGGATTACGTCTCAGTATTTCACCTTTCCCAGCTGCATTTTCTGTTGAATATTTTAGATTTTTTCTGTGGACCAACCCATCACCTGGCCGGGGTCCACTGCACTCCTGACCCCCCCCTACAGGACGCAGGTGGCGCTGCAGGGTATCGATTGATGCAATAAATTTAAATCTGCAAAGACAGAACCCGGTTCTTTCAGTACAGTCTGAGGTTGGAGGTCGTTCATAGTGTGGATGGATCCACTGGGGTGTTTGCTGCTGCTCAGTGCAGACAGAAGCAGCTCTCCATGCTTCAGTGTGACCAGATAATCTGTCAGTCTGTCCCAGAGTTCACTGCTCTGATGCTTCAGCTGCTGCTTTTAGCCAGGAAGCAGACGAACTTCGATTCTGAGACCAAACGGGAGCTGGATGGAGCATCCATCCTTAACCCAACCAATCAGGATGAACATCTACAATTCCATATTTTCTATTTAATCTTATAAATTTATCCACATTGATTATATATGAATGCGTTTGGGAGCTGCTGGAAGAAGAAAGGTTGATTAAAGTGAAGCTGTGGTCCATGTTCACCATGTCCCACCACGATTTCCTCATTCTGTGGAATATTTGAGGGTTTTTCTTCCCCTGGAGGAATTTCCTGACAAACATTCGCTGGTTTGCTGGTTTTGCTTCATGCAGTCGACTCATGGAGAACTGTTGTGGTTGGAAGGAGGTTGTCGGTTTAGGGTTAGCTTTGATTGGTGTGAAAACACACAGGAGGTTGTTTGGGTATGAACCATCTAGTGGAGAGGAGACGGCTGAATCAGAGCTGACAGCAGCTGGAGGAGAGACGAGCCAGTCAGTTTGACTTCAGTCAGCAGCTGGGAGAAAAACTCCAGCTGTTCCTGACGGCTCAATGAGATGCTTTAGATTCTGACCTCACAGTTTCTCACTTTGCTTTGATTGTTCGGAGAAATCTTCTGCTGGCACGACAATGTTTATTCTTCTTATCTGCTTGATTTACTGCAAAAGCTCAGAATATTTGTGGTTTTGGTTTAAGTTAAAGAAAAGCAACCAAAAATATTCAAATAAAAAATTCAAGAGTTATAACAACAATGAAAACGACTAAACAGTTTTAAATCTAAAGACAGTCATCAACACTGAGGAGAGATGTGTCTAAACTGGAACCATTTCCAGACACTCTTGAGGAATAATTACCGACTTGTGGCTACAGGTCAGATGTAAACGATAACCTCCTCACCCTCGCTCTCCTTGACTTCAAATATTCGCTGATGTATCCGTTGGGTAAAGATCCGGGTCTGAGCCGCGGCTCCGGGCCGAACGTCCGGGCCGAGGCCGCCGTCAGCCACAGCGCCAGCAGACAGGTGATCAGTAGCGCCTTCATGCTGTCCGAAGCAGTGTGATGCAGACACCGCTGAGCCTCAAGGAAGTCTGGGTCAGCACCGTGCTCTCAGCTCCAGCTCTGACAAATCACTGCATTTAAAGGCTGAGCTTCCTGCAGAGTTTATAGAGAGCAGCTGTTAACCCTTTCCTGACCACCCACCATCCATCTGCAGGAGAGGAACACGCACGCACACATAGAGCGAGGCATCACATATCCATGTCACATAAACATCTATTTTCCTCTGAAATGTCCCTTAAACATGGCCAGGAGGGAGCAGAAACTGCAGAGGGAGCAAAAAAGATGAAAGTTGACAACATAAGAGAGTGAGAGTGTTTTATCTCGAGCAAAGTCTGATGCCCAGCAGAGACACTGTCAGAAATCATTCACAATCAAACCTTCATTATGCAAACTTTTCCTCCTTTTGTCTCTGATTTTCTCTCCTCTTCTGTCAAAACAAACATTCAGCCAGTTTTAGACGGACACTAATCATCATCAAGATTAGAAATAGTGACTGATGTTAATCATCAACCTGTCCTCCTCACCGACAGGTCACCAGTCTGTTTACTGACTAAAACCTGGATTTATTCAGTGCAAATTCATTACCTGATTTAACTTATTGTATGCAGATCTATATGAGAGAATACGAGGTTCATTGTAGATCTCAGAAAAATAACAATTTGACCACAGAGGAGGAAATTTACACCAAAAAAAACTCAGAAAAACTTGAAAATTTTCTGATATAGAAATAGTTTTTTAGTATAACTTCCTCTGATTAAAGGAAAATATTCTAGCTGTTCTCTGACATTGTAAAGTCTGAAATGTGCATGAACGAAGCTCAAAAGTTACCTGAGATTTGGGATAAAAAAGCCAGGAATCCACAAAGATTCTGTGATGTGATTTTGCAACAGGGTCTGATACAATACCCTCAGTTAAACATGCAAGTAAATTGTCTTATGTGTTTCAAACGTGTCCTGCATGAGACAACTGGGCATCTCCCAGTTTGGCAGACGTAACTTAAGGTTTTCACAAACACAGTTACAAGGCAGAAGACTAGTTAGAATAACATGATAGTCCTTCCTGCTGTAAACAGATACAGAGCTCATACCTGCAGAGGCGTGGCTCTGCTCTTCTCCCTCCCTGGACCGTGACCTCCTGACCTCACTAGACTGGAACCAGAGCTTCCCTGGAGCAGAAGCTTTGGTTTCTTATTGCTTCCTTCCTCATGGTCGCTGGTTGGGAATAAAAAAGTTGTAGAAAGGTTCACTGCGGTTCTGCCTGCAGATTTCAGGTTTGGTTCATATTAGGCTTTAATTTTAACCTTAATTTTAATCTTCTTAACCAAGAGTTGATTTGTTTGGTAAAATCGTTGGAAGCATCAGTGGATTTTTTTCTTTCTGGTAAACTGTGACCGTGGACCTCCATAAATCGATCAATAAAACCTTGTTTGATGCGGTGAAACAGCCAACATAGAATAAAGCCAAGCAGACGGAGCTGAGCCTGCTGCTGGCAGGGCTTTGAATCAACCAATCACAGATCAGCTTCAGCCTCTTGGTGGAGACAGCATTTAATGGAACCATAACAAAACTCTGATGATGTGCTCTGCTGGGCTGACCTCTGAACCTGAGGCTCAGTTAGTGGAAACTAATAAAGCTGCTTCTGTTTTTTATCTGGTGATATAAAATGGAGACCAGCTTCCTGCAGTTATTGTTAGTCAGAAGGAGAAAGTGAGAACATTGTTTCTAAGCTGTTCGTCTCCATTTATGCGTTGATTTAAATCAGTGATGTCAACAAACAGCAGCTTGATATAAACCAAGATAAAAACTAAACATTCCTGGAGGTTCCTCCGTCCATCCAGGCCGAGTTGTAAAGCTCAGTAGCTGTTCCTCAAGAGATGGAGACGTTAGTCTTCCCAGCAGGGTTTCTGTGGGTATGTTGAGACTCCATAAGAAGGAGAAGGAGACTTCCCCTGAAAAACAGTTAAATAGAAAACATGTGACTGTTTGAGCCGTCGGTAGGAAAGGAAGAGAACCGGAGCCAGAATATAAACATCCCAGCAACATGAGCCTGCTTTGTCACAGGTGTGTTAGCAATTAGGAGCACCTTTAAACTTTTATGAGTGTGGGAAGAGAAGCAGGAGCTAGAGAATGTGTTTGTTAGGCTCACTGATTTTCTGTAGCAAAATTTGGGCTGTTGGGTTGTTTCACTGGGGTTTTACTTCCCAATAAAGCTGCTTTAAAGGGGAAACCACCCAAAACAACTTTGACACACATGATTATAAATCACTCATTAAGAGAGGGAGGGGTCAAAGTCCACCAGATGTTCATATGAGCTCAATCAACACAATAGAAAAAATTTCAGTAAAGCTGATATTATTTATTTAATATTTTAACAGTTTTTAGAAATCAAGTAGCTCAAAGACACTTCAGGGCCAAAGTTTTTAAACGAGGCCAATAAAAGCCAAAGATCTGTAGAAAATAGAAGGTAGATTGACCCAATTAATTGGACCAATACTGATGTGTCGATGCGGCTATATCCATATCTTGCTTCTTTTTCTTTGCTACTATAATGCTTTATCTGTAGCAAAGCACCAAATCTAACTTCTTTTCAGTCTCCAATGAGATGAAAAAACTCTCCTTTTGTAATATAAAGATGAAAAACTCACCACATGTCTTCAGACCATACGTCAGATTTTAAGCAAAATGTGATCATTTTTTAATAACCATTTTAACATTTTTTTTGTGGTTGTTTGGAGCCAAAATCATAATTAAAACATTAGTTTATTTCATTGCCTAGTGCATCAGAGAACAATTGGTCCAAGGTTGATTATCCATCCATTGTTTGTTTATCTGACATCAGATCAATACACATAGATAAGGTATGAGAAGGCTAATTTTTCTAGCTGCTAGCATTATGTTCAACCCAACGACTTGAAACGGAGTCACCATAGAAGCAGCGAGAGGTCAGATTTCAAGTGGTCGGTTCCAAACAGCAGCACGGCAACAGGAGGAGCAGGAGTCCATTTAGTTTCTAAATACATGCAGATGTGCAGCCTGAAGCGCCTGCAAGTGTTTATCCGACTGCTGCAGCTTCTGCTTCCTCTGCACTCTGCAATATAGGAAATAATCTGCTGTCAACCACACTCCAGCTTTAGATTTATGGATTTAAGTGTTCTTGGTTGTTCCTCTAATAGAAACGAGAAAGATGGTCCAGGATTGGAGATATGAAAACAATCAAAGTGATCTGTATGTTAATGAGTCTAGAAGTTATTTTCAGCTTAATGCGACTGTTCGGTCATCACAGTATGTGTATTGATCAGTTAAATTGGTCCAGATGGAGAAAAGGATCCAAGAATAACAACTTCTTGAGTCCAAAGCACAGATAAAACCAACCTGTTTGAAGTTCTGGTACTAAATGCTCCAAATCTCCAGTTTATCTTTGGTGCAGAACTCTGATCCGAAGACCCCAGTTCTGACTGGAAAATGCTTTTCTGGCTCATTTGTTCTGACTGATGCAGTCAGTGTGACTGTGAGCAGGTGGAGGAGAGTGATAAGCAATGACAGTCATACCCCACGTCACAGCAGAACACTGGACCACCTGGCCCAGAACCAGACAGCCGGGCCGGGATGGAGCAGGGCTGAAAACTGACATGATGTATTAACACGGTGATGAAAAACGTGTGTTTTGGTTGTGGCAGAGCCACCCCGCTTGCTCTGGGTTGCTGCCAGCAGCTGCAGACCCAATGCTGGTGGTTTTTATTGCAGCTCAGAGACTTGTTGGGAATTTAATGTTAACACAAAGCAGCTACTGCAGGTTCCACAGCTTCCAAGCCTCGTTTCCACGGGTCGTTATGCTATTTGTCTGTTTCCATTATAAAAGTGGTCCATAGAACCACCATTCCTGGGCTCCCTTCAGTTGTAGATCCATAGGACAACCGTAAGGTCTAGTTAGAGCTGAGCTAATGGCGTCACACGACTCAAAAATGTCACTCGCCTGCCCAGTGAGCCTCCAGCTGGAGGTGGAAACTCTCCTGAAAACGACGGACCATAAAACAGGGTACCGAGCCGGACCGACCCGTACCGCTCACTCAAAACGACGCATAAAAGAAGCAAGCATAGAAGAGTCAAGTAGGTTTCTGTGGGACTACAGCTGCTACCACCGCTAGGTATCTGGGACCAGACACAGAAACAATAAACTGATTTTTACTGGCTGCAAACTGGTTTTGCATCTAGTAAAAGGTTTGCAAATAGTTAATTATTCAGTCCACCCTGTCCATAAATACATTTTATTTGATGTAAATGGACAAACATGACTACTGAACACTTTAAAGGTACAGCTTTTGAACTGTTTGACTCTTCTAATCACATGACATCAACTCAGTGTTTCTGGGCTTGGTTAAGACAACTTGCTGACGTTGAAACTGGGCATCAGAATGAGAAAGAAATTGACTCGACGTTTCAAGGTTACTGGTGCCAGAAAGGCTTGTATATTGGAGTATATTGGAGGAACTGCTGGTCTGCGGCTCTTAACCATCTCTCTGGTTTACTGAGATCGGACTGACAAGGGACAGATATACAGTGAGCAGTAGCTCAGTGAATGTAAATACCTTGTTGACGTCAGAGGAGAGTACTTGTCACAGTCATGGTTTGCGAATCTCATATTGGATTTAATCCACATTTCTCCATATCAAATGAATCTGGTTGGAACGTTGATAAGTCTGCGGCATGAAGAAGGTTGTGGCAGATCTTGGTGTAAACAAAGCATGGATCCATGGTGTTGTGGTGTGGGGGATAATATCTTGGTACACTCTGGGCCAATTGATACCAGCTGAGCATCATCTAAACACCACAGCCTGATGGAGATAGACCATCTCCATCCCTTTCTGGCGACCATGAACTCATTTTCTGATGGCTCTTTCCCAGCAGGATAATGCTCACAAAACTCAGCTTATCTCAAACTAGTTTCTTGAACATGACAATGTTCTCTTGACTGTGTTGCTCTCCAAAGCAAGTTGGCAACAAATCTGCAGAAACTATGCGATGATCATGTCAGTCTGCACCAAAACTTTGTTGAATCTGACGCACTAGCAAGTTTCTGATTTACTAACTGGGTGGACCTAATAAAGCAGCTGTGGAGTGTGCGTCAAAGCTTTATGGTTTGACAAAATGTTCCACCCTTTCCAGAATACTTCCCTAAGCTCTTAGAGATGTTTTATAGTAAATATAAGACGGATCTTTGTGTTCTTTTGGGTCAGCAGTGACTCTAGTCTAGGAAATCTCCCATGACATTTATGTCTCTCTTGAATAATGACCTCTGACTTTATCTGAGGCAGTGAGGCCTGCAAAGGTTTAGATGTTGTTCTGGGTTCTTCTTGGTCCTCCTGGATGGTTTCAAATTCAAAAATACTTTTTTGAGCCAAAAAGGGTAAAAATTTGTTGATGACCTCTTGGAGTCATATTGGCAGGTGGGCCTCTCCTGGGAAGGTTGAATGCCTTCTCCACTTGTGTCTCACTGTTGTTCAGACTGATAGATATCACTGATTCTTTTTGTCCTCTGTTCTTGGTTTTCTTTAGATCAGATCATGTTTTTTCATCTCTTTTAGCCTACTTCATGTTGTCAGACTGCCTCTGTTTAAGTGATTTCTTGATCCTGCAGGTTTGGCAGTAGCCTGGTAAATACCAGCTCCTTGTTCTACACTTTGCTTCATCCAGAGGGTCTAGACCCTCGACTATAGAGAAACAACTTCTTGCTCAAGGGGTGGACTCTGCTGAAGTTTGAAATGACTGGATTTGATATTACCCAATCACTAATATTTGGTCATGATGAATGTAATGCGCCAGCACGACCATGAAGGAACCTGCTATGAAGCTTCCTGGGAATTATGTCCACTGTAAGCAATCAACCCCCACTGCGAAGAGAGTGCCGAGTCAAATGATGTTTGCCAAGTCTTGCTCTGACTTTAATTGCTGAATATTGGAAATGTGGCCAACATAGACTGAAACTACAACCAAAGGCAGCACAGAAACTTGGCATCATTGTTCACAATTCCTCCTTTTGTTTGCTGATTGGCTCAGTTGAAATTCATCTTGAGAAATCCAGCTTAATGGGGAAAAACCCCAGATGGAGCACTTTTGCAGGATTGCAACAGCCAGGCTAGTTTGGCAGTAGTCAGGCTTGGGTTTAGCTTGTGGGCCTGAAAGCAAGTGGTGGGTGCAAAGACTTTTTAACAGCATTATATTTGTGCCATAATTTTCTGCAGGTGCAAGATCTTAGCAACGATTCGCTTGACTAAAGCAAATCTGCAGGTGAATACACCCAGTGGCTTAAAAAGTTCTGACCTAGCTTCATTTCCTCTTGTTTTCAATCCAAACAGCTCGACTTCCCTATAATCCTTCAAACTGCTCCTGGTCTCCAGCTTTTCTGGAGATCTTTTATGGTTTTATTGGGGATTTGCTGTTTGCCACTAATAATAAGTCAGTTGTGTTAACACTAACAGGGAACTTACCAAGGAACAGATTTCAACTGAAACATCTCCCAGCTTCTGTCATGTCCTTTCTGGGTTTGTTGCAGTTTTTTCAATATGGCTTTGAGATACTGTTCCTCTGCTGGAGAAGTTTTTGCTGGAGCCAGAAGTTTTTTATTTACATGTTTCTGGGACACTTGTAAAGTTCATGCGCAAGGGACATCCGCTAACAACAGCGATGGACGACAAAGCTGCTTCTAATAGCAGCTTTGGTTGATCTAGTGGTTGAAGAACCTGAATGACCAGTTTAAAAACTATAAATATCTTTGTTGTTGAGCTCATATCTATTTATTGAATAGATAGAAACAAAAACTATTTTTGAATTGAAAACGTTGCTTATTTTGCTGATATATATAGCTTTCGATTCCTTGCAGTTAATTAATTACAAACCCAGGAACTAACTTGATCAAAACTTTTAATCAAGTACCAACACTAGCTTTTAGATATGTCTCGTCTTCTTTGGCCCACCAAATCTCCAGAGACATCATGCTTCAGTTGAACACCATGTTGCGATATCCCACAATATGACATAAATCTGAGTGCAGAACACAGTCCAACAACTGATCAGTTCCCATGTGGTGGCGTTATGCGATGAAAAATGAAAAACTTCTTGAGTTTCCAAACATTTGACTCAATCCAGCATTAAACATGGGAGTTCTTTGAGCTTGCCAAAGAATCTGTTAAATGTGGGGTTTTTTAACTGCTCCGTCATCAGATGCTCAACCAGAAAGATGCAAAAGTGTTTTCAACATAGTCTTTTGTTTTCTTTTCTTGCTGCTTAACAGTTTTAAATTAAATTAGTTATTTGAGGTGACTTTCTGTGAGCGTTCTTTGTT